CGGGGAGGGCGAGGGGCCGTCTCGACACTGCTGAGCCTCCATGAGCGCTGCCCGGGCGCAGGCACACGCCGGCCTCGCTGCAGCAGCCATCGAGGCCTGAAAACAAAACCAGAGAAAAGAAAGAAGAAGGGAAGGCGGGGACGGCCCATGCCAGGGAGGAGATGGGGGGGATGCTCTGGCTACAGGGTGGGAGAGGGAGGACGGGGTGGGGTATGGAGGGAGGGACGGAAATCGGGAGCCAAAGTAAAAGAACAAACTACGAGTCTAAAATGTGGTGCAAGCGCCCTACGCGGCTGTCCGCTAGCATGGCATAATGTCCGGAGCAGCCCAGAGAGGGAGTCACATCAGGTCTACACAGATTTGCCTTCCCATATATACAACCTCTACTGGAGTTAACAGCTGAAATTGAGATTTTTTTGTCGGTTCCTCTGGCCTCGGTTGCCGTTTTTTTTAAATGCTGGAGCCCGTCCTCCCCGCCTCGCCGGCGCCGGGCGCATGCAGCCCTTGCCTGGCTTGCCTCGGGGATCAAAAGGGTTTGGAGGTCTGCTTGAAGATGAAGCCTCTATGGGCCAGTGTCTTCATGATATTGGCGATGTTCTTACAGTCGTCTGTGGAGAGAGCACAGAGATGCCAGGTTAGGGCCTTGATCTGACTGGGAGCTGCTGGATCAAGCTCCGAGACCCAGGGCTGCATGCCCCCCCCAGAGGGTGTCGTGGGGGTCTGTGCAGGTCTAGGCACAGCCCCTGTGTCCCCACCAGTCCAGGCACTCTGTCCCAAATGCCTTGCAGTGGTGTGGTGTGCGTGTGGGGTTCCCAGCTCTCCAGTGCTGGCCACCCACCTGCTGGTACGGCCCCGCACTGCACTGGGATGGATCGATGCCCAGGACCCGGAGGCCTGCCTGGGGCAGTGGCGTTGCCCAGGCTGCTGGCTGGCGCATCCCTGCCTCCTCCAGGCTGGGGTTGTCCCACGGGCTGCAGGGAGCTGGTGGATGGGGAAGGCAGCGTTCCTGCAAGCCGGACCAATGCTGGCCCCCAGCTCTGGGCCAGCGGCTGCCTCCCTGCAAGCCCAGTGCTGGTCACCCGTGTCTCCTCTTCCAGCACCCCTGGCCCTTGGTGCCACAGTCCAGCAAAGGGGATGTCCCGCACTGGGATGGGGATGCCAGAGCTGCACTCCAACAGCCAAGGAGGGGCCCCTCCTTCCCTTCGCCCTCCTCAGACAGAGGCTGTGTGGCACCTGACACTCTGCTCACCCCTGCCGTTCGGGGTTATCCCTGTCCCTGTCCCCACCAGAGCCAGCCCTTGGTGCTGCCCCATGCCCGCTCACCCCAAGCTGACAAGTGGCGGGTGGCAGAGCTGGCAAACTACATCCGTCCCCGGGGCAGGGCCGCAGCCAAAGTGGGTGCTGGCAGCACCGCGGCCGCCACGGTGAGCAGTGGCGGGGCGGCAAGCCGGGGAGGGGGAAGGCTCCGGCTGGTGTTATTTACCTGGGACTAAACTCAGGCACCGTTTGCTAAAATAGAAGCTGGGCTTAAATTGATTCCTGGTGTCTATATTTCATGTTGAAAATTGGCTTGTAAATCCATGTTTTGATCTATGAGGGCCGTCTCCTTAAGAAAAAGCAAGAGTAAATGTGTAATTTCTCCCTTGACAGCACACGGCGCAGAGGCGATCCTTCTTCCCGCTCCCCTCCGTTTCGGGACAGCTCCACTCGTTCCGATTACCACTCTTTCTTCCTCGCCCCACGCCTTGATGTCTCCATTTCATTACCGCCCGCCCATTTATCAAGCTGTTACCGTAAGGGTGACTTTGCCCACTTGCGTGTGGCAGCGGGGCCCGGCTGACACGGGGAGAGGGTGCCCTGGGAGGGGGGGGTGCAGGCAGGGCCCCCCTCTCCTCGCTGCTGCTGGATGGATGTTGTGGTGGAGGGAAGGCTGCATCATTACTGATGTGTAAATGATAAAGAAGCCTCCACATCCATCTCCCAACTGTAAATCCAGGGAGTGCTTTATAATCAAGCTACAGCGATAATAATGTGAAATTAGGTCTCTCTATCAACGGGAGGAGGCCTTTTAATCACGGCTTAAAGGGTGCAAACGCTGTTTATCATAATTGAACTGTATCCGGGCTAATTGTGGCCATATTTCACTGTCTAGGAGACAGCAGGCTGCCTGCTGACAGAGCCGCGTGCCGGATTGAGGGCCCTGCGCAGACGGGCAGCGCTGCCCTGCTGCCAGGCGTCTGCCCCCAGGGACGGGGCTGCCAGGCTACCTCGCTGCTCCTTGCCATACCAGCAGCCCCATGGTGCATGGTGACCCGGTGGCAAAGCCATCACCCGTCCCCCAGCACTGGTTGGAGGTGCAGGGGACTTCCCCTGCGTGCAGCTCCCTGGGGCACTGCCCTGAGCTGCTGGGGACTCTTCCTGGCTGATGGTTGGCAGTGAGAGAGGTAACGTCCCTGTCACAGCCATGTGCCTCGTGAATGTTCCCCCACCGGCCCTCTTTGGCACCCCTTCCACTCACTGGTGTGCCAGGGGCAGGGAGCTGGGCATGAGGACAGCCCGACATAGGAGAGGTGTCCCCAGCCCCATGTCGGGGCAGAGATGAGCAGAGGCCTGTCCTCTCTGCTGGCCAAGGTGTCACTGATGGCTCCAGAAGGGCCCTGGAGATGATGGGTGTTCTGCCTCGCCAAGCCACAGTGCCAGCTCCCACTGCCACTTATTCCCACTCACACAAAGCCTTCGCCATCCTTAGGACCCCCTGCTCCAGCCATCTCACCCCCCAGCCAGCTGAGCCCCCAGGAAACCAGCACCAGACCTGCCCCTGGGGCCATCTTCCAGTGGGACCTAACAGAGAAATGGTGGCTTGAAAGCCAGGGAAACCAAGGAAGGGGGAGCACAACCATCTGTGACCAATATACCCCAACCCCTGGCCTGGTCCCCCAAAAAAGTAACAACAAAGCAAATCCTGGCTTCTGAGCTGCATCAGGCGGGTGGCAGGCGAATGGCTTGGAAGTGAAAGCACAGCTCTGGGCACTGTCCTTCACCACTCCCGGGCATCCCGCTGCTCACCTCCCTGCCCGCAGCATGGCCCTGGTCGGCGTGGGCTGCTGGGACTTGGCTATTGCTGAAATAGTAACTGCACAGAGACCTGGGCAGTGGCTACACTGGCACTCCTGGGACCCCTGAGTTGGTCCCTGGGGAGACACTCAGGACCACCGTCTGCTTCTTGAACCCCAGCAGCCGTCTTGCCAAAGCCCTGATGTGCTCTCGCACCGGGAGCTGCCCTGGGCTCTGGGCCATTGCCCTGCAAAGCCAGTGGGACCCCAGTAGGTCAGTGCCACCCACATCAGCAGCATCGTCCTCCCTGTCCCAAACGATGCCACGGCCCCCTGGCAGCGGGAGCACCAAGCTCGTCATAAGTCATTTAGTGAGACTCATTCCAAATCAGTGCTAAGGTAAACACGCTTATTATAATTATCCATGTAAAAAAAAATCAACAACAGCAGAACAACTTTCTAATATGCAATTACAGCCATCTATTGATTTTACAATGTAATCCGCTCCGATTGATTTAATAACACAATTATAGGCTGGCTCTCGGGATATTAGAGTGGGAGATTTTCATAAACTCCAAAGCAAAAAACTAAGCGGCTTTTAAAACAACACAGTCAGATGGCTGTTTGGGGAATTATTAGCAATATGAAATCCTCTAAATCTGGCCGTCGTTACCTTGTGAAAGGAATTTCTATTACAAAAATGGCAATTGACAGCCTAAGAGAGCGCAAACAGGATTGCTTTGCTGCTCTTTCAGTGCTTAATCCATTGCAAAGGTGACCACAGAGCGGGGGACAAGCGGGGTCCGAGGCAGGCAGCGGGGTGCGGGCAGCCCTGCCCACTCCACACCCCCCAGCCCGGCTCTCCCTGGGGGGCACATGGCCACGGCGGGGCTGCCCCAGCACCCAGGCTGGCACCCCCCTCCCTGGCCCGTCAGGGTGACCCTGCCTGGGGCTGCAGGGGCTGGCAGGATGCAGAGCCCCCCGCCACCCCCACCCC